CAAAAAATATGAAATAAAATTTATTTACATGTGTAAAACCAATGAAACACGTTGCCTTCAGCTATCACAGCTCGCTCACCTAGATTAGCACAAAACATTTTCAGATATACTGACAACCCGACGGTCGAAATGCAGCGATTGTTCGAAGAGACATTTCGTTGAGGAGGCTCGAAACAAGAATATTTGGCTCTAGCCAATTAGTACTCGGAAATGAGATTACGATGATGAGAAATGATGTTCGTTTTGTGATGACCGCTAGTGTCGATTAGTCCTTTTATTTCCGAAAAGCTGCTCGACGCCCGTGAGTATTGTATTCAAACTCAAGGGGTCGTCTGGATTTGTGCACCTCGTGCCTAGGATGTTATCCTGAAACGCTTTTTGGCATTAGCCCTTTTGATCTCGCCAAATCAAGTTACCCGAACTTGCTTGTATCCACACAAGCACTGGCAGGTTCCGAATCTGCAATCGGAGAATCCGGGGCACTGCTTCTTCGACAGACATCGCTGACCGAGCTGCGCTTTCTGCAGACACCGATCCGAAGAAGGAATCTCATCCAACTGGTTGCAACTTTTCTCACAGGTGGGAAACCGGTCATCGTTGTACTAAAAAACTGCTATTAAGCAGAGGTGAGCGACTAAACGAGTACCTGAAGATAGAATTTTTAAACTTACCGGATGGAAGCCCAATTTGCATTGGCATGTGCCAAGCGTACACGACATGGAAATACCACCTTCGCACTACAAATTACATTTTCATGTGTTATGGATCTTAAAGTCTCATTATAAGGTTTTATCTTTAACCTGTTGGTCAATTTGGCAAGGATCGTCTCTGTGGGCTATCGATAAACACTGCCCATTGATGTAGAGCGGCGTAGGGTCGCGACATGGACGTGGACAGCAAAGAGACGATTTCCACCTATAACTATTCATTGAAAGTTCATGTTTTTATGACTAGTAATACGATGAATAGGGATCAGTTTCTGTACGCCATGAACTTTCACTAGAAAAAATTACCCGCCCTGGCTCGGTGATAGAATAACAGAAATGGGTGAGAGGACGACATTTTGACTCCGGCGACGATCCGGCATCGCAAGACTGACTGAAAATGTAAGATGATAAGGAGTTTTGAGGGAAAACTAGCACGTTCATGACCTGAGGTCGGGTTCCCCGTACGGGCAACGAAGTCGGCAGCAGTGACCCACGTACGGACTGCCGTAGGTGACGCATCTGTAGCCGAGCGGACAGCTGTCGGTGTTGGCAGCGTTCTCCAGCATGTCGACGTCGTTGACGAACAAACGGCGACATGTTTGACGCGGATGCATTCCGTCGGGACATACTGTAATGA